CCAGATGCTCTGGTATTATCATAACATCACCAGATGGTTTCCTGCAGACCGATTCAACCTTCCCTAGCCCTCTTTACCATTTGGCCTCATGCCATGGACTTTTGAGGACAGCAAATTGCTCATCCTTGTACCCACCTTGACCCTCCCCCTAGACAAATGATTATAATATTCTGCAAATGATTATATAATTCCCACCAGACTTCTTAAAAATGGCACATTGCAAAGCCAAGTAAAACTCCAACAAGAGAGGGAGGGAGGAAGGAAGGAAGGAAGGAAGGAAGGAAGGAAGGAAGGAAAGAAAGAAAGAAAGAAAGAAAGAAAGAAAGAAAGAAAGAAAGAAAGAAAGAAAGAAAGAAAATGGAGGGAGGGAAGAAGGAAGGAAGGGGAAGGGGAAGGGGAAGGGGAAGGGGAAGGGGAAGGGGAAGGGAATGAAAATGAGAAAAAGAAGGGAGATAGCACATTACAAAGTCAAGTAAAACTTCCACAAGGGAGGGAGGGAGATGGGAGGGAGGGAAGGCAGGAAGGCAGGAAGGCAGGAAGGCAGGAAGGCAGGAAGGAAGGAAGGAAGGAAGGAAGGAAGGAAGGAAGGAAGGAAGAATTTCTCGTCATCTTTTCTCCACTACCTTACAATACAATATTTCAGCTGTAAGTGGGTAAATTGGGGATTTTGAGAGGGGGTTGCTCAATTCTCTGCCATCAGAGACTTGAGTGGAAAGATGAGATTCAGAAAGAGGGTTCTGATCTGTTCTTCTGCCTGGGATAACTCATCCCTCCTTCCCCCCCCAAAAAAAACCCTGTCCCTCCACTTATTCTAATGCTTCCACCCTTTGGATCTGGAAGAGAAGTTCTCCAAAAGGAAGGGTACACTACACAACCCCCAAGCCAGCTGCTAAACTGGGTCCCTCCCCCAGGGAGACAAAATTAGTGGAATGTGAGAAAGAATGGGAGAGGACATATGTCAGGCAGAGAAAGGAGAGGCAAAAACGCACACACAGCCTGAACAAAACTCCAAATGATTGCACATCATGTTGTGTACCTTGGGATAACACACCCAGGAGAGAAAGCCTCTAAGGTGTTGAGAAGCTATAAATAAACGCTCTTCGGTTTGTTTTATAAAGAAACAATCCACCATAGTTTATTTTTATGTTGTCCTTCTGTGGCTCTTCTCTGTAAATCCTCCACAGATCCTGAGTGGGAAGGGAGGGGATAGTGGGATAAGATAAGAGGTCCCTCTTCCCTCCACGGATTGATCTTCCAGCCTTCCTGGACAGCTGGACACTAGGTGGTGCAAACACCCTGGATGTTGTGATATCACTTAAATACAGAGAGAGGATTCTAAAGTTAAGACCTTCAGTGTTAAAATTGACATGCTATTTATTTATTTATTTATTTATTTACTATTTTTGCCTGTGGATCTAAGTTCTTGTAATGTGATGGATGGATGTGTAATGAAACCCAACCAATTGAAGATGGGGGTTTTAAGGAAATAAGGACCATGAGGAACAAGTTCTCTATTCCTGGAGACCTTGAAGAGGACCAGGGATTCCCTGATCTTGGGGAAAATATTCCTGAAGAATCTTCTCGAGGTGTAGGAAAGTCCCCTCTGAATTTTAAAACATTATTTTTTTCCTTAGGGAATGCAGATGGTAGAGTTTCAAGATTCCCTTGAATCTGAAATGATCCGATGATCATTTCTTCAATCTTTGTGACTTTGTGACTTGATTCATCTCAAGGGATTCTAGACTCCTCATGAGGAAAGGGTTTATTCATGACTAGCTGGATGCCCGTACTTTACTACAAAACTATGTGATCGGGTGTGATAAATCGACACTTAAAGCCTAAAACTTAATGTTATGTTTTACCATGGCTGTTCACCGCCCTGAGTCCTGTTGGAGAAGGGTGGTATACAAATTAAATTAAATAAATAAATAAATAAAATAAATAAATGTAGAATGTGTAACTCCGTAGCATCAGGGCGTGTTAATATAAGGCAACTGACAGTTGGAACAGAGGGGGAGGGGAGTAGAATGTCCCAGCCCGCAGGCCAGATGAATTACGCGCTGGCCATGCCCACACCCAGTTTAGCGAAGGGGTAGCATCAGAGGGTGTTAATATAAGGGAACTGGCAGTTGGAACAGAGTTCTTTTCAGGTGGGGAGGGGGAGTAGAATATCTAGCTCCTTAGCATCAGAGCGTGTGAATATAATACTGTATATGAAATACGAATGATCTGATGGTCATTTCAAAAAATCCTTCCTTAGTGAGTACCTAGAAGCCAAGAGGAACATACGTGCCAAATTTCAAGTTTGTAGGCTTTACCGTTCTGGAGATTTCATGACGAGTGAGTGGTATTTGGCTTTTATATATGTAGATTAGGTTCCTCTTTAATATTTCAGCTGACCACGGCTGATGTCCGAAGCTAAAGAGGACTGGGTCAAATCAGTCCATAAATGGGACATCCCCTGAGAATCCCAGGCCAATGGGATGGACTAGAACAGTGGTTCTCAACCTTCCTAATGCCGCGACCCTTTAATACAGTTCCTCATGTTGTGATGACCCCCAACCATAAAATTATTCCTAAAACCATCGAAAATATGTGTTTTCCGATGGTCTTAGGCGACCCCTGTGAAAAGGTCGCTCGACCCCCAAAGGGGTCGTGACCCACAGGTTGAGAACCACTGGACTAGAACATCAAGAAGCATCATGGACGTTTTTTGGAGATCATGGCCAATCACTTCGATGTGGATTCCAGGAAGTTACCCAGAACCAAACTTAACTTATTGGCCTCTTAAGGCTTTCCTGATACAGTATGTATGCACAGGAAGTAGCTGGGGAGATGTCACTTCTGTTCAACTCCCTTCAGACCAGCTTTGGCTCGTCTAGAGATGTGCTGCTGGCTTGCTTCATCCCAGTTCTGCATCTGGGCTATGAAACTCTGTTCATTAATGCATTGTGAAGCAGGCTGCAACTGCTGAATGGGAATGAGATTAGAGGGCAGGAGGACACACCTATCCCTGTAAGCAGGGATTCATCTCAGTCTTTCTGGTTTATCAGAAAAGAAAGGGAAGCAATGACTTAATGATACTGCATTAAGTGCCTTCCTTGGGAAAAAGATTGCTGGGAGTTAAAGTGTCCTCTTACCCGCATGTGGAAAGCTGATGGGAAGGCAAGAGTTGGCTTGATGCTGTCACTTTCCTGCCAATTGAAGCGAGGAAAACAGCATCCAGAAAGGGTTGGTTCTACACCAAGCCAACGCTGATTTCAGGCATTCAAACTTTGTGAATGGGATTGAGGTGGGATGAAGTGATAGCCATTTGATGGACAGCTAGGAGATGCTTCCACAGGGCAGTGTTCCTAACTTCAACTTCTGAAGAACCTTCTGGAGAACTTCGGGATTTGACCCATGTCTTTGTCCTCAGGGGCATAGCAAGCAAACCCAGGCTTGGCAGGAGGACAATCATCTGCCTTATTTTCCCTACCAATTCTCCTTCAGCTGCAAGAAATATCCGTGTCTTCTGAGGGGTCCTTCCAAGAAAAAAGAGAGTTTCTGTGAAATCTTTCTGGGTGGCCAAAGACTGGAATCGCGTCCTTTAATCTGACGATCGTTTCTCCAATCTTTGGGACTTTGGGACTTGATTCATCTCAAGGGATGAGACGATCCCATGCTGGCTGGGGAATTCTGGGAGTTGAAGTTCACAGATTTTGAAATGATCATGGTTGAGAAGCACCACTCCAAGGATAACCCTGAGATCTAGGCAACCATGGTTCGACTTCATTCCTTTTCAGGGTAGATCTACGCTTGGATGATCTTTTGAAAAGCTTGGCATTTTGCCCAAAACTGAAATATGCCAATGAAAATGTTAGGCCTGGAACTTTTTGTCACCTGTGTATGAAATCTCCAGGCTGATGCCATCTGTCTGAGAACGAAAGCTGGCGTGTTTCTTCCACGTGCCAGCAAGGTTTTCTCAAGCTGTGTTTCCAATTATATTCCTCCTCAACTGTTCTCTTCCCTTCTGCATCCTTTTATATAGGATTATATAAAGCATTGGTTGATGTCGGCTTAATAGGCTTGCGCTGGAGGTATTCAATTATTCTTGTCATCGGTGTGACAATTGAAGCTGGCTCAAACCTTGCAGCAGATGCCCTGCTGGCCATTTCTTGTATGAGAATTAGCAACGGCTAAAGCTTTGCTACAGTTTTCAATGTCTGTTTGTTCTTTGCTAAGTCGTAATCTCAGTCACCTGCTTGCTTACCTGTTAGCTCCTGCAAATTTGCCCGAATAAGAAGCACAACTACATGCATTAACATGTCAGGCATGAAAATCAAGAGCACACAATAAATTCTAGTTAAGATGATTTATTGCTCGTGGCTATTTCCAAGAATCAGCTAATGGCCAACATGAAATTGGTGTTAAATAAGAGTTAACAGACTTCAAGAGATGTTAGACTTGGATTGCTTATGGGAATGTAATAATTCTAGGCTGGTTCTTCTCTTGACTCCACCTTAGGTTCTGCCTCTCTTTTGCCTACATTGCTCTGCTCTGCTCTGCTCCGCTCCGCTAACTCTATCCCTATTGTAAGGTTACATTAACATAATTTTGCAAGTCTGAAAATATTTTCTTACCTCTTCCCCTTTACTCTTCAGAAAACTAGGGAGGGTGTCTTCTGAAATGTTTTCCCCACCATTCCCCTTTCTGTGGTCTGTGACATCTTTTCAATGCCGGTTGTGCTGTTTTCAGCTCCCTCCCTCCTGCCTCCCAAGGCCATTCTCACAGACCATTACATCACCATATTTACTCCATACATTTTATTGATCGCTTGCTTTTTTCTCTGGTCAATCAATGTGATAGATCCCAAAGAGTTATTCCTACTGAAGCCCCACAACCAGAATCTTAGGAGGTGGCTTGGCCTGAATGAGTGATGGATCCCCAAGTCACTCCTGAAGGATGTAATTCTCTGTGAGGCAGCCAATCTCAAAATGTCTTCTTCTTTTCATTTTCAGTGCATGATTGGACCAGCGAGGGGAAGATCAGCACTGCATCTCTGGAAACTGGTCATCCTACACTTGCTTAGGTGAGTTGAGAAGTCTCCTAAGAAATGGAATACATTCTGTTCGGTTGAAGTCCAGAGTATGAGCCTGCCTGTATTTCCTCCAGCAACAGCATGAAATCTGTGGGATGTATCTGAACGATGAAAATAGACCACCCAAGGTTTGGACAAGTGGGAATTTTCTATTGCACATTGGAGCATGATGTATCTATGGGTGGTCATTGATACAGTTGACTTGATTTTAGATTCTTCTGCTCAGTGTGGAAAAATAACTTGATGGCCTTCTACTCATTCCAAAGTCCCATATTTCTTTATGTAAAATATTGTACTTGAGGAAAAAGTCTACTTCTCACAGTTGAAGTCCATCCAATCTTAAAGTTGCCCCGTTGAGAAAGACTTCCCTAGAGGTTAGATCTTAAATCCGTTGGCTCATATTGTTATTTTCTAAAAGGAGAAATTTCCAACAAAAGGCTGCCAAGGTGCAGCATTCAGAGGGTAGATTGGATGACCCTGGATGTGTCAGACCGTAGATTTTTCTAGAGTCTTCTCTTGCATTTCATCCTTCTTGGTCTGTGACAATCACTGGCCCCTTTTTTCCAGCCTGCGTGTGTGTGTGTGTGTGTGTGTGTGTGTGTGTGTGTGTGTGTGTGTGTACATACATATATATCCCTCTCTCCCTTTCTCTCCCACTCCCTCTCCCCTCCCTCCCCTCTCCTCCCTCCCTCCCACTCTCTCTCTCCCCTTCCTCCCCCTACCTCCCTCTCCCTTCTTCCCTCTCTTTTTCTCTCTCTCTTTCCCTCCCTCCCTCCTTCCCTCCCTCCCTCTCACTACTCCTTCCCTCCCTCTCTCTCCCTCCCTCTCTCCCCTCTCCCTCCCTCCTTCCTTCCCTCCCCCTCCCCCTCCATCCCTCTCTCCCTCCCCCCTCTCACATCTCCCTCCCCTCCCTCTCTCTCCCTTTCTTGCTGTCCCTCGTTCCCCTCTCCCTCCCTCTCCCTCCCTCCCTCCCTCTCTCCCCTCTCCCTCTCTCTCTCTCCCTCTCCCTCTCTCTCTCTATCTCGCTCTCTCTCCAGGACACTGAGAAGAGACAGGAGCAGGTTCCAGCTTGTACTGTATGTACAGAATCCTAGATTAAAATTTGTGAACTGTCAGTTTGATAAGGCAGTGTGTGAGACAGCAAACATCAGAGCTGGCTGTTCTCCGGCAATTTCCCAGCTTGACAGCTCTCTGGAGGGAACAAGGAGAGGTTTCAGTGCAGAACAAAATTTAGTTTCTTAATGGGGAAAAAAAAACCCTATCAGGATGATTCCAGCATCCCTTTCTCTGGCTGTGGGTCGGGGTGGGGGGGCTTTAAGGAGGCCATTGCACTAGAATGCAACTGTATGTGTCAGGCGCAAAGAATCAGGACTCTTCATTGACTTCTAATTAAGCTGGTTGATTTCTCATGCACAAGAAGTTAGTCAACTAATGGTCAACACTAAATTGGTGCTAGATAAGAATCAACAGAATTCAAGAGAGGTTGGATTGGGATCATTTGTGGGAATGCAACGACTCTAAGCTGATGACACTCTTAACTCCATCCACCAACTCTGCTTGCTCTTCTTCTACATCTGTAGTGATAGATTCATGTCCTGGGCAGGACACCTGATTAAATGCTCCCCATGGTACCTTCAAACTCTTGGTATGTAATTCTGTGATCCGTTCAGTGGGTTTAAGAACCACACCTGAAGAAATTTCATTTCACAAGTAGGGCTCCTTCAAGGTTTTCCTTTATGATTTTCCAAAATCAGACTTAGGAAACTTAAGTCAATGGTCCTTCAAATTAGTGGAAGTCTGAGCTTAATGCGATCATGTAAATACGTTCACCTCCTACTTGGAGAAAAAGATACAGGAACTAAAAGTTGAGAAAATGGCCTTGCTCGTGCAATATCTTAACCTGATCTGTTTAGGATTGCTGTGAGGGGAATGAGCCTCTGACGGTCGTTCGAATTCAGCCAACAGGGGTTGAATGGTATATAAACTATAGTTAAGCAAACCACGGTGTACTGTTGCTTGCTGCAGTCGGGTCCCCCTTGAAATGACTCGGGTGCGTTGGCTCTGAAATTCTGGAAGCTGTATTTGTAACAAGTCTAAAGGCACTCATTTCGGCATGGCTGATTTACTGCATTGTGCAAACATCTGCGATGATTGTCACACCAGCTTGGATTGTTTTAGAGGCAGGTTTCCCGTTGCTGAAACCAAAGACAAAATAAGATGGATGCCGGATCTAGATCGGGGGAGGGTTTTCTGTAGTTTTAACCCAGCCAGTAAGAGAAGGCTGGGAAAGAGAATGAGCTACGCAAGTCAAAATAATCGAAAGCTTTATCCCTTCAGTCAGAGGAAAAGAAAGCAGGTTTATTTATAGAAACATGTCTATCCAGGGATGGTTTGTCAATGCAGAGGTCAGCACTTTCCTGGAGAACCAACAGCATAAATTGTCAGGTAGAGAAAACATTACACCCGCCAATAACTTCATTTTCGGAGCACTCTGCAAGTGAGAAAGAAGAGAGAAATCAATGGGAGACGGAATTCTCCATCTAGTCCCCAAAAACTGCCTCTGGCCTGACGATTGTCTTAAAAGTATCTGCTGCCACCCGGAAGGGTAATTGTCTCCTTTGGCAGCAAAACTGAAAGAAGGGATTCCATGGGAAGTAAAATTGGACGGACCAATGCTACGTGATCACTTAATGTGGCTCTGATAGAGATTTCTAGGAGAAAGAGTGACGGATGAGTGGATAGATTAGATTAGATTAGATTAGATTAGATTAGATTAGATTAGATTAGATTAGAATTAGATTAGATAGACTAGACTAGACTAGACTAGACTAGACTAGACTAGACTAGACTATGATAGATAGAAGATAGATAGATAGATAGATAGAGAGAGAGAGAGAGAGAGAGATAGAGAGAGAGATAGATAGATAGATAGATAGATAGATAGATAGATAGATAGATAGATAGATAGATAGATAGATGATAAGTGATAGGCGATAGATGATGGATACATGGATGGATGGATGGATGAGAGAGAGAGAGAGAGAGGGAGGGAGGGAGGGAGGGAGGGAGAGAGAGAGAAAGAAAAGGAGATGAGATGAGATGAGATGAGAGGAGAGGAGAGGAGAGGAGAGGAGAGGAGAGGAGAAATTTCCTGACAGGTAGAACAATTAATCAGTGAAACAACTTGGAGAACCATTTGTCCAGAAAGTTATAGGGTCTCCTGCTCAAGCAGAGGGTTGGACTAGAAGACCTTCAAGATCTGTTCCAACTCTGTTATTCTGTACCTGTCTCTTCTGCCAACCTGTGGTTCTCCAAGATTCATGGTCTACAAAACTGGATGCAATCTGAAGTGGTTTCTTTCTTCTTCTTCTTCTTCTTCTTCTTCTTCTTCTTCTTCTTCTTCTTCTTAATCTTCTCCTTCTCCTTCTCCTTCTCCTTCTCCTTCTCCTTCCCCTTCCCCTTCCCCTTCCCCTTCCCCTTCCCCTTCCTCTTCCTCTTCCTCTTCTTCTTCTTCTTCTTCTTCTTCTCTCCGAGGACAAGTGGAGCATGAGATCCCATCTTGACAGCTCTGTGTTCACCCAAGGATGGCGTGTTAATGTTAAATGAGGAGAAAGAGGTGGTTGGTTGGAGGAAGCCAGCGAAGTCATGGGGTTGTTGAGTCTTTTTGTTATGCACTCTGATCTTTCATGCTTAATTACATCCTGACATGAACAAAAGGGGTGGGAAGGAGATGTCTTTCTTAAAAAGGAAAGGAAAGCTTTCTGACAGGGGTGGGGAATTACTTTCGATGAAATATTTAAGGCGTTCTGCCTCTTTGAAAAAGCCCGCCTGAGTGAATGGCTCCTCTTTGACCTTGTTAATTGAAAAGAAAAAATAGTGTTGGGCTCAAGAATTCATCAGCGGCCCTCCCAATGTGAAAAAAATCTGGGAGGCTCCATAACTGGGCAAGGCTGTCTCCATTCAACCATGTTAATTCAAGTGTCTCTGTGTTTCTGAGCTCATTAGCAGCTTGGTTCACACATGACAGTGCGGTGAAGGGAGGAGGGTGCGCGTATTTGTACAGCAGGTGTTCCCTGGCGTGGGAAGTGGGATGAATGATGTACAGATTTTAGGTGTTGCTTTGATGTCCCCATTTTCTTCTGTCGTTCCCATCCGGACAGAAAATGAAGATCCTACACCAGGGGTGGGTTCTACTTACCTTTACTATCGGTTCGCAATGGGATTGTGTACGTGCCGAGGTCCTGTGCACGCGCAGAAGCTTCTGCACTTGCGCAGATCGCCGATGACAACATCCGGGGCGGTAGGCGGAGCCTCCTGCCGGTTTTACTACCAGTTCTTGCGAACCTGTCTGAACTAGGGACAACCCACCACTGTCCTACACACAGAAGTCTTGAGATTGGGCCAATAGAAATAGATTTCTTAGCTCTTGTGCCCCAGGATGAATTGAAAAGATTCAGCCCTTCCTAGACGCACGTTCACTCTGGTTCCAGGGTTATTCAACCTTGGAGATTTGAAGACTTATAGTCTTCAACTCCCAGAATTCCCCATGGCTGGCTGAGGAATTCAGGGAAGTTGACGTCCACAACAGTGGTGGGTTTTACTTACCTTTGCTACCAGTTCGCATGTGCGCATCACTTCTGTGCATGGGCAAAAGCTTCTGCGCATGCACAGAGCGTATTTGATGATGTCCAGGTGGGTGGGCGGAGCCTCCCGCCACTGCTACTACCAGTTCGCCGAACCGTGGCGAACCGGTAGCAACCCACCACTGGTCCAGAAGTCATAAAGTCGCCAAGATTGGACACCTTTGCTCTAGGTATTGACTTCCCTCATCTAATGGTACCAATGAGATGATTCACCTTTTATGTCCCACGCTCCTCTCTTTAAATGAAAAGTTCAGAAAAGTAGCAGCCCCACAGCTAAAGGAGGACATCCATCTCCCTAGAGCATCCCTCAATCTAAATACAAGTAGTCCCTGATTTGCAATGTTCATT